CTGCCAAGGTCCCCTGCAATGTCTCTGCAGCCGGCCAAAAATCTAGTGCACCACGCAACCCGCCACCCGTCGCCTGACCGGTACTCAGTTAAGGCTGCACAGCCACCTGAGAGCTGCACAGAGCCCAGTATACAAACTGCAGAGCCACTATTAACCCCCACACAGCCCAGCTGAGAGCTGCGCAGCACGCCATTGACCCTGCACAGCCACCATTAACCTTGCACAGCCACCTGAGAGCCACACAGAACACCATTAATCCTGCATAGCCACCCTAGAGTTTGCACAGCCCACCATTAATGCTGCACAGCCACCATTAACCCCATACAGTCACCTGAGAGCCACACATATCACCATTAACCCTGCACAACCACCTGAGAGTCTGCACAGCTCACCATAAACCCTACACAACCACCATTAACTCCACACAGCCACCTTAGAGTCCGCACAGCCCACCATAGACCCAGCACAACCACCTGAGAGCAGCAAAGACCATCTTTAACCTTGCACAGACCACCAAAGATCTCACACAGACCACCATTAACTCCACACAGCCACCTGAGAGCTGCACAGTCCACCATTAACCCGGCAAAGCCCACCATAGTCCACGCATAGCCCACCTGAGAGCCTGCACAGCCCACCATAGAACCTGCACAGCCACCTGAGACCCTGCACAGCCCACCTGAGACCCCGCACAGCCCACCATAGATCCCACATAGCCACCTGAGAGTCCGCATAGCCCACCTGAGAGTCCACATAGCCCACCATGGACCCTGCAAAGCCCACCTGAGAGTCCACACAGCCCACCATAAACTCTGCACAGCCCACCATAGAACCTACACAGCCACCTGAGAGTCCACACAGCCCACCATAGACGCCACATAGCCCACCTGAGAGTCTGCACAGCCACCTTAGAGCCCACAGAGTCCACCATAGACCTCACACAGCCCACCTGAGAGTTTGCACAGCCAACCAATGAACCTGCACAGCCACCTGAGAGTTTGCATAGCCCACCATAGAACCTGCACAGCCACCTGAGAGTTTGCATAGCCCACCATAGAACCTGCACAGCCACCTAAGAGCCCACACAGCCCACCATAAACTCTGCACAGCCACCTGAGAGTCGGCTTCGGCCGACCTTTCTCCATGCCACGAAGCATATGCCTTCGGCTCGGCTGCCTTCGGCTGCTGTACGAGCTATTGTGAAAGGCAGAGACGGCCGAAGAGAGCCGAAGGATCAGCTGAAGCTACGGCTATATCCTTTGGCTCCATAATGAATAACCCCCAAAATATATTTTCTTATATCTAAAAAGTAAGCATCTCTTCTGATTTGACAAAACTCCATAAATTTCCAACCCATCCTCAGCAAAAACTGGCAAAAAAGTATGCTGTTATGGTTCAGCAGAATTATTGGCATCTTCAAGATAGACATGCTTTCACATTTTCCTGTATCTATTTAAAACCAATCAGATCAAATAATCTCAACTTCTTGGCTCTTCCAAAAATTCATATGGGGATCAACCCACCCTACACCCAAAGAAACACTGACACACACATTGAGGGAATACAAGATCATTAAAATAGGCATTCTATGAAACTTTCTCACAGCATCCAGATCAGTAATCCCTAGATACTGGCCTTTACAATTTGGCTCCAACCATTGCTGATTGGATCACAGAGCTAAACCATATGATGCAGATGATGACCGCAAAGAACTGTTCATCCACGCATGGGCTACATGGATAGCATTTAAGCAATCTTTACAACTCCTTCAACTGGTCTTCAGAGCTAGGACAAGGGTTGCCCCCCTGTTTACAACCTACTCTTATTTCCCCTCACAGGGACACCATCAGGGGGGTATGGCCGATACCCATGTAAGGGTACGGTGGGGGGGTCTGGCCCCAGCAGCGGCAGAAGAGGCCGGGCTCCAGCAGCGCCGGTCAATCTGTGGGAGAGGCCAGGTCCTAGCAGCAGCAGGTAAAGGCCCCCGACCAGACCACCTGAGACCCTGCAGAGTCCACCATAGAGTTCTAGATGGGCTGTGCAGGACCTATGGTGGGCTCTGCGGGGTCACTCTCAGGTGTGCTGGGTGATGGTCTCATGTGGGCTCTGTGGGGCCTCAGGTGGGTCCAGAGTTCAGTGCATTACTAAATCCTGAGTTCAGTGCATTACTAAATCCTGAGTTCAGTGCATTACTAAGTCCTAAGTCCAGTGCGTCACTAAGTCCTGAGACCAGTGCGTCACTAAGTCCTGAGTCCAGTGCGATACTAAGTCCAGAGTCCGGTGCATTACTAAGTCCTGAGTCCAGTGCATTACTAAGTCCAGAGTCCAATTCATATACTGTTCTGCATTGCTGTATAATGTATTGCTGGGATTTGTAGTCCCCCTGCAGCCGGTGCCATTTTGCATTAGAGTGTAAGTTCCTCTGTACAGAAACTAATGTGACTGGCTCAGTGTTCTCTGTACAGCATTACAGCAGGTGGGGGAGGGGGGCCTAGCCATGTAGGCTGTGTGGGGCCCCATGATTTCTAATGGCGGCCCTGCCCCTTCCTACCCCAAACATCCCCCTACCCTTAACCCTACACCAGCTCCTTTGCTCACCCTATATCCTTCTCTTTTCCTGTCCCTCAAATTTATTGACTCCCACTCTATAACTAACCCCCTCCTCTCATAATCTAAGCAGACACTGCCATTTACCCTGAAGAGCATACACATAGCTATGTCCTTCCCCATCCCCTTTTCTTGGGTCTTAGATAATGTACATAACTACAAAAAGATAACTGATATACTTTGTAGTTTATTCAAAATTTTGGATATAGTACCTTACATATATATCTGCTGTGTCTCTGTTTTACTGTCCTAAAAAGTTGAATAAAAAAGAATTTGGGAAAAAAAAATAATGAGCCTGCCATAAATGTCTGGTCAGTCATTTCATGTTATAGGGTGGCAATACTCTTTCCATGTCTACAAATTGTGCTCCTGTGTAGTGATGGGCTGCCGGTTCGAGTGAAACGGAAGTTTGACTCGAACATTGCTTGTTCGAGCGTTCGCCGAACTTTGTGGGATGTTCGCGCAACGTCCCACAAGGCAATGCGCCCTCTGAAGCTCTAATTGGTTAAAGTCTTGCACCTGACCCCTGGTGTCAGGTCATGATGACTTTGCCCAATCATGGCTCAGAGCTAAGTCCCAGCAGCACACTATATAAGGCTGCTTACACCGCAGCCATACATAGTGTGTTGCTGGACTTAAAAAAGATAGAATCTATATGCAGAGTTCTATATGCAGAGTTCTATATGCAGAGTTCTATATGCAGCGTTCTATATGCAGCGTCCTATATACAGCATTGTGCACTAAAGCAGTCAGTCATATTGGTCTATTATAGCAGTCGATCAGAACAGTTGATTCTGACAGTCGATTATTGCAGTCTATTGCAGTGAACATCATGTCAGAAAGGAGGGCGTGCCGAGGGCATGTGGCCTGGTATGGGAGGAAGGGGGAGCGCTCGATCGCCCCCCCCCCCCCTTTCACCCCCTTTCAGGCCCTGCCAGGCCTATGTTCGGATCAAGGGTCTGGTATGGAATTTTAGGGGGGACCCAACGTTTCCCCCCCCATTTTTGGGGGTGGGGGTACCAGGTTAAGGGTATGGTATGACTTTAAGGGGGAACGCCACACACTTTTTTATTTGTTTTTTTTACATGGGGTCCCTCCTAAATATTCCTACCAAACCATAAGGGTCTGGTATATGCTTTAAAATAAAAAAAATGTGGTCCCTCCTAAAATTCCTACCAGACCTAAAGGATCTGGTTTTGTTTGGGAAGGGGAACTTCACACTTTAAGAGTTAAACATTTTTTAAAATTTTTTTTTCTTTTTAAATGTCACTTTTTGCTGCAGCCGGTTCTATACATCGTACAGATCCGCCACTTCACATGCAGTTTATGGGGACCCCCCAGGCACAATATTTGAAGGCATTTTTCATTTTTATTCTTACCCTTTAAGTCATGTAAAAATCACTGTTCCTTTAAAAACTTTTTTTTCTTTTCATTGATTTATGTCCCACAGGGCAGTACCTGGAACCCTATACCTTTTATGGCCAATAACTTGCATATAAGCCTCTCAAAGGAAACAATCTTTCCGAAAGTTCGACCCCCCCATTGACTTGCATTGGGTTCGAGTTCGAATTCGAACTTTTCAGCCGTTCGAAATTTCGAATACGAACCGAACGTGGGGGTGTTCAGCCCATCACTACTCCTGTGTTGTCACCCTCTCATACAGCATTCTGATGGAGACTACAAGTAGACGTTTTAGCACACATTAAGAATTAGATGACAGGAAATAGCATACAAGGCAGATAAAGGACCACCTTTACCAAAAATACAACCTTTCAAGAACCCACATGTATGGATGAGGAAGGGTTCTCTGTTGAAGGCAAAAGAGATGACATCAAAAAGAGTACTGTAGATGCAACACCATTAGCCTCAACCCAATTTTTATGAATTGTTTGTTTAGGGGTTCTTTAATGACAATCTTAAGGTTACTTGTTGCACATTTTTGTAACCTATAAAAACCAAAACATATTGCTGTATCTGAGGCTAGATTCAGATCCCGGCGATCCCAAGACGTGCGTCTCGGCCCGTGTTATCGTGCATGATTGAACACAGCGATTGCCAAGTGGCCCCATTGATTTCAGTGGGGTTATATCCGCGTGGCAATCACTTAAAAAAGGTACATATACCTCTTTTTGAACTGCGATCGTGCGCGATTGCACTGTGGTATTACGGCAGGAAACAGCGCGATCTGCCTGGTGGGACTGGGGTGCCATTCGAAAATAATGGCACCATCAGCCTGATCGGTGATGGTGTGCATTTCCGTGACTGCACAGCCATCTGCACGGTTTCGTAGAAGATTGCCCTAGTGTGAACCTAGCCTTAGTTGTTACCTGACTGTGTAAATTTTTACTGATTGATTGCTCTTGTATACTCCACATCACATTTTCTTTCTGCAGACAAAATCTGTGATCAGATAAGTGATGCTGTTCTAGACGCTCATCTACGGCAGGACCCTGATGCTAAGGTTGCCTGTGGTAAGTAGTGTTCATATCATTTTTATGACAGTACATTTATGAAAGTTTTAATCTAATGTCTAAGCATTAGGACTGGCCAATCAGGATGAAAAAATGATACACTGTTATATGTGTTTTAAATTAAATTCTAATTTGTTGCAAGCAGTAAATTGTTAACTTAAAGAGGAACTGAACTCCTTGAAGATGTGTCCCAAATAAAAAGGCAGGCAGAGGCCAAAGGATATTTTACCAGTATTGCGTGTGGTCTCCCTACAGCTGATCCTTTCCCCATTATTGAAATTACAATGCCTTGTACTGCACTGTGGCTGTGTGGAAGCCACCACCTTTAGGGTATTGCTAAAGCATGATTGACATTTCTAAATGTTCCCTATAAGGTAGCAAATCTTCACTTTTTGATTCAGGTCCACTTTAATATCATTTAACGTGAACCTGACATTGATGCCAACCTGGCCAATTCAGACTCAGCATATGATTAAAAAACTACATAAGCAGAAGATACCTTTAGCACATGTCAAAATGATTTGTAGATTCCAAGATGTAGGAAACTGAAATAGTATGCAAATCTCAACTTTTCCTGTGTATAGACAAGCATAGCCCCACCACATGGTGCCAATTCAGCAGTTATCTTAGAAATATTTGGCCATGGTCAGGTTTACTTTAAAGATGTTCCCACCCCCTGCTATGTACATTTACATTCTGAAAATATTTTTATTAATGTATTTTGTATTATTTTAGTTTTCTTGTTTTTTGAATACTTGCCAGAATGATGTTGTTATGGCTGGTGGTTGTATCATGTAAAATATAAACTGCACAAAATAAGCAACTTGTATACATTAAATGTAACTCATTATCTTCCAGAGACAGTGTGCAAAACTGGAATGGTATTGCTCTGCGGTGAAATCACATCCCGAGCTGTTGTAGATTACCAGAAAGTGGTTCGTGACACCATCAAATATATTGGATACGATGATTCAGAAAAAGGTAAAACTGCAACATATTCCCCAACCTAAACATATTTATTCTTCATTAATCATTAGTCATTAGACATTCATTTTATTTTTTACTATATTTATGATAAAAGCACTCAAGCATATTTTGTTTCATTTATGTAGGTTTTGACTATAAGACATGCAATGTGCTTGTAGCTCTAGAACAGCAGTCTCCAGATATTGCTCAGGGTGTACATTTAGATCGTATAGAAGAAGATATTGGAGCTGGTGATCAGGTACTATAGTGCACTTATTGCTACTGTCAATCCTAAGCTAACTATGCCAATGAAGATATGGTTAACTACAGTATGTCATTCTTTGGATATTTCATACTTTATTTGATGTTGCATTACAATCTTTTCAATTCTGCATGGTCTTATTGGCACTTATTTTTCATTCTTTGCCTTGCTCTCCTATATGTCAATAATTTGTTCTTCTCTGAGTTAATAATTTATACGTCTTATGCCATGTTGTTTTTAAACAACGCACCAATAGTAATACTAGAACAAACACAAAACAAAAATGTCACACTCACCAGCTAGCCTACAAAAAAAAAACAAGTTACACCATCTAACACATTGCATTAAAAACAGAGAAGTCTTAGTTGCACAACATTTGTTAAGGACACTGCCTTGTTAAGGACCCTCTGTGTAGTGTGGTCCTAATTCTAATCTGAGAGTCTCCATCTTGTATGTATTGTGTCATATATAGCAATGGATAAATTGAGTGCAGGTATACCTGGAGGTAGCCCATTCCTTCTTAAAGGCACAGGGACACACCAGAACCACAGTACAGCACAATGGCAGCTGAAGACTCCCAGTGTGTCACCACACCAAATCCAGCAAGATACTCAAAAAAAGCTAGTTTTAAATTAATTGGTGCAGTTGCATTTTTGTTTAAATGCCAAAACTACCCCCTTATATCAAGGAATAAGCAAGGTCTAAGTAGATTAATCTGGTTCACAAAATCAGGTCCCTAGATCCTGCATTGTGCCTGCACAGAACCTGGAAGACTCTCTGGGATGGCCAGAAGGCACATAGGGCATTTATTAATTCTGTCCCACAACAAAGCAATTTTAAACAGGAGCAATGGAACAGATTACAAAAGGTTAAGCTTGATTTATAAATTCCTCTCCCATCTGATGTAATGCAGCACTGCCACAGAATGAAACCTGCCGTGACAACATCTTATGTGTGTGTCTGTTTAGTGAAAATATGTCTCATCTACAGTAATAAACCTTTTGCAGACCTGTGCAAATTGCAGATAAATCCAGGACAGAATACACAAGAAAACTGTTGCATAGACTTTGCTGAGTGAGAAGCAGTGATTTGCATCTAACTGTGTTGCTAATATGCTTGATAAATGCCCCCCTCTTTCATAAATTCTTCCCGTAGCTGCTCTTAAAGTAGACATTTACCCACTTTCATTCTATAGTGATAGAAAATTGTAATATATTTTCTGTTACTTACCTTTACTGGGTTCCCTCTTTCTGGTCTTCATAGGCACTGGTGATCTTATGTCACTGGTGACATAACTAGGAACTCACAGAGGCCACTTGCAAAAGCTACATCACCAGTGCCTTCCAGTGAGATCTCAAGCCCTAGTCCCCCCCAGCAGGGTAATGTGGTATGGCACATGCACAAGAGGAGGCACATGACATGAAGGCCTGCTACTTCCTAAACCAGGTTTTAGGAGGAGATAATAATTTCAGATGGGTCCATCAATTGTCTATCGAAAGACATACATGCATTAATCCACATAGCAGAGAGCCCACACACTTTGAGCTCTCTGTGTTTGGGGGTACCAGCTCATATAGTATACATCTAATTAGCATATTTTACGGATACGTTGAGTTTGGAAAAAAGAAAAGAAAATAATGATGGATGAGAGGATCCAAACTCTGAGAGCAGGCTTGTGGGAGATGATTAGATAAACTTCTAGCAAGTTTTTTTAATAAAGACCATCATCTTTACTTTACTACTTAGTATATTAAACTTTAAGTGCAAACTGCCTTTTGTAAAAATATCAATGTCACTGAAGAATGTGTATGCAAAGATTCCAGAACACTGCTGTACAGAGATGCATGTAAGCATCCACCCCATCCACTTCCTTTTCAATAATCTTTCAATTTTCCATTTTGTCTTTCACTTTGTTCTGTAGGGTTTGATGTTCGGCTATGCAACAGATGAAACAAAAGAGTGTATGCCACTGACTATTGTCCTTGCCCACAAGCTAAATTCAAAACTGGCAGAATTAAGGCGCAATGGGGAGCTGCCATGGCTTAGACCAGATTCCAAAACGCAGGTAACCAAAATGTATTATTATGTAACAAAATACATTTGAAACACTTTTTATTCAGATTTCTGGGAATAAATGGTATAATTTTGAACTGATGGAGCAACCCAAGATGTTTCTCTCTTCAATAATTATGCCCCTCCATTTGATATTACGTTATTAAAAAAAAAACAGTAGTTTTTTTTTTTCAGTAGTAGACTTCATAATGAGCAAGCTCAGGCAACTGGTCTAGCCTCGTCACCCAGTAGTCAATTGGTTGTCCATTGGCAGGGTGTCCACATCTGCTCTTGATATTATATAATTATACATCATATGGGTTTTGCACTGCCGATGACTGCTACCAGCAGCCATGCCTTGATGATGCATAATGAAGAAGGACCTGAAAGTCTCACTTAGATAGCCACAACTGCTACCACTACGATGAGTATCCAAAGTAATTTGTACATGAAAGGAAATCCTGTCATACTCTGGTAAAGCTGTTTAGATGTTCCTCTGCAGCACCTCTTTGAGTTGGCACAATTTTTGCTCCCTCTTTTTTTTGGGAGGATGAACTCTGGCATTTTCGCTTTTTTTTTATGTGGATCCAAGAGGGTGGTCAACCAGTAATGGCCTCTCTCCTTGATGGCCTGAATCCTCGAGCTTACCTGAGGTTTACCCAAGTTTACAATGTTGATGAGGGTGAAATGTACCTTTTGGAAGCCTGCCCCATGCCCTCCACCTCCTTGCCACCAGCATCCCAACCCTCCTTTTCCTTGTTCCCCTTCAGTAAATTGCTGCCTGACAGGGACGAATTTAGGATAAAGCAGGCCTCTTCCTCTTGTTGCTATGCCTGCAGTGCCCAGTCAATTACACAATGCAGTGTGTGCTCTAGCAGGAACAGAAGAGGGATTGTGTTCCTGATCCCTTTCCTCAATACAGCTCACCATTCTGGTCACTTTATCAATCAGTGACAAGAGGGTACACGCACCCTGAATAAGGGGCCACATAACCCCCCCCCCC